TGGCCAAAGCGGCCGGCACGAAGGGTTACCCAGTAGCAGTTGTGATGTCGTTCGAGCGCGATTATTCGGTTAAAAGTGTCTTGATGGTACCCAATCAAAATCTCCAGCCGCGCTGTCACTCAGGATGTCGCTCCATTCTGGGTAAAGTCCCAAGCTATGTGCAGCCAACAACGTGGGTGAGAGCTCTTCTTGAAGTGATAACACGCAGCTCATCGACGACATCGTCTCCCATGAATTTGGCTGGATCGACATTTCTATGCGTTCGTGCACTCATGCATCAGACACGTCCCGGCTGAAGCTGAGCGTGGTTCAGGACGAGCCTGAGCATGTGTCCGCGACTTCACGCCGGCAAAGGCTCTGAGACGACTGTTGCATCTTTGTGAGCCGGCGGGGGGAGGGCCCCTGTCACACTAGGCACCACGAAACCGTCGATTCCAGCGCCAGGAAAATCAGGAGAATGTGGCATGCACCTATTCGGCTCCGACAACTTGTGACCGGTGCCAACAGAATCGCTTCTGACGATCTGGCAAAACTCAAAACTTAAAAAGTAAATGGAATCGACTTACTGCCGGAGGCGGAGATTTCTATGGAAACTATTGCTCTAGCTGCTGGCGAAGGTCAGCTGTCGAGGCTCTCGCGTGCTGGAGGTTTCTGCGGAGCATGTCCCTTATCATGTCCTTGATCTTGTGATCCATGCGTGCAAGGCTACCGAGCTCCGATCGAATGTGGGCGAAGATCCGCTGCTTGTCGATTTCGGAGGAAGCGTGGCAAGTCTCAACTTGCCTGGGCCAGGCTGGGAGGCTGCGCAGCCAAGGCTTCGAGGTTTGACTATATGGGAAACTCCCATTGAGGGTACTATATGAGGGTCCCCTATTTTCGGAACCTCCCATATGGTTGTCACTTCACACATAAAGGAAAACGCAAAGAAAGAAGTAGTTTCAGAACTGGCTCAGCTGCAAGCCGCTGATCCGCCGGCCCAACTCCAGGGCCACCCCGACTGACTCACAACACTCGTCCCCGCCAGAGTCCGTGGCAAAGACGACCTCTAGCGCCTTCTCGCTCGAGAGGAAGAGCTCGAAAAGGCACCAAACTCCTAAGAAAATAAACACAACAGAAGCAGCTCTGGCTCTTGCCTGCATATCGCACGGAGTCAAACCTTGGTGCCATGGTCAGATGCAGTCAGGGCACGCGTGAAGGGCTGAACCTGCTGGTCCAGCGCCATGACCACGCCCTGCACGTCGGAGTGGAGGACCTTGGCAAAGGCGCTGTCAAGGACGTCGGTCCCGATCTCTTTGGCGATGTCCCACTGGTTGTTGGCAAAAGAGCAAATCCAGTAGGTGGGCTCCAAGGCACCGGTGAAGGCAGCGTGGCGCTGCAGGCACTGCACGAAGTGCTGGAACAGCGTGGCCCAGCTGTGCGACACGAAATGTGAGACGGGCTTACCCTGCAGGAGGCTAACGAAGGACATCTGACGTTTCTCTGTGAGGGGTTCCACGATGTTAGCTACCACGAAGTGCATATTCCTCTCGAGCAGAAAGTGCTTGAAGTGTTCCCAGAAGTGCTGTAGAGCCTGTATGGACAGGCCCTGGTTTTTGGGGTGGTCTTGGTCTTCGGGCAGGATAGTTGCCGAGCCAGTGATGAGCCTGCTGAGGTACTCTCGGCAGGCCTCTTGCAGTGGCGTCCGGTGCCGCTGCAGCAACCAAGCCACGACAGGGTGCAGCGCAGCCGCGCAGACCATCAGCGGCAGGACGAAGAAAAGGACGGCTGTCACTAGGACATGCCCCGCGTCGTTCCGGGAAAGCATTGCCACGGCAAGGGAACTTGGAACAAGAAGCAGCGAGAAGAGCAGAATCCAAAGCTGGAGGAGCATCGGTCCATAGCCGCTGCTGACACCTAGGAAGCCTTTGCTGGTGGCACAGTCGTACGGTGGCTGCTCGGGCTGCGGCGGCAGCTGAAGCTTGCAGCGGCTGAGACGCATTGGTTGAATGTTTTCAAGAATGCTCTCGGGAACACCCACAGACAACCTGGGCCATAGTTAGCACAATAGTTTTGGCAATAGTTGTAATTGTTGCAATTGTTTTGGCAATTGTTTTGGCAATTGTTTTAATTGTTGCAATTGTTTTGGCAATTGTTTTGGCAATTGTTTTAATTGTTGCAATTGTTTTGGCAATTGTTTCGGCAATTGTTTTGAAAGTTTGCGATATTTTCAACAATTGTTTAGGAAATGCTTCGAACATGGAAACATTTTAGAAATAATATTTTAACATTTGTTTGGAATAAATGCAAAGCTGTTTCAATTACTACAGAAAACACCTTGTTCTCTTGACTTGTTTTTTCCTGTTGACAAACACTGACAAACACCACATGGCACAACATCACACTGCATGCATACTTGCCATGGTCCAACACTGTTCCAGCACGTTGGGCTCAAACAGCCCAGTTCGTCTGAGCTACCACGGCTACCACCCACCAACACAAGCACGCACACAGCCACACCTTCACACAAAGTCCTTAGGACACGTAGCACTGTTTAGGGTTACTACCCACCAACACAAGCACGCACACACCTTCACACAAGGTCCTTAGGACACGTAGCACCACTTAGAACACGTAGCAGCAAGGTCCTCATGACACTCCTTAAGACACGTAGCACCAAGGTCCTGAGGACACGTAGGCATCAAAGCATGCTGGGCGTTGCAGATCTTGCCGCCATTGTGGAACAGCATGCCGCCCCGAATCAAGAAGTAGACGGTGATTCACCGGGTGAGGGTGCTGGCGGTGATGGTGTTCGGCAAGGACGCAACCGGGGGCGGGCCGGTGGGCGGGCCGGTCATGCACGTGCGGTGAATTTAGCGCGAAGTCGCTCAAGCCGTAGGGGGCTGGGGGTGCAGAAAGACCGGGAGGCTAAAAATAAGCTTCAGGTCGTGGCTGCCAACTCTTCTGGCCGCAATCGCACCAGGGATCACTTGTTTCCCATGCATTCAGCAGACAAACGTGCAAAAGTTTCTGGTCGTGCGGGTTGGAAGGTTTGGACGCCAGAGGCGCTGTTGAGGGCTGCTTTTGCAAGTCCGTCTGCGGCGTTACGCCAGGTTGCACAGGAGATTGACGGTGCGAGTGGCAGCCACGTGCTGAATGCACGGATGTTGGTTGCCGACATCATCTTGCAAAAGCAAGCCGAAGGTTTGCAATACCAGAAAACAGCAGCAGTGCGTTCGGCCCTTCTCGCATCAGCCCCCAAGTTCTGGATAATGAACCTTATGTTTGACGAAACAGAGTTAGAGTTGACGCTGGATGGCGAAGGGCCTGGGGCCTGGTCAATTCTAGCATCGCACTCGCAGCTGAGCATTGGCAATGGTGATTCTGATTCTGTTCAGGAGTTCGATTTTGTGCGACTCCCACAAGCCTTGCCCAGGAAGACGGCGTCTTGCATGTACGAGGCTCTTTGCCAGGGTGAGGGCAGTCTCGCAGCAAACAGCATGTCATTGCAGGCTGATTATTGCTGTATCATCATCACTTGTGATCAAGCATCTGCCAACATCAGGCTTTTAAAGCACGTGCATGCCGTGCTGCCTGAAAAAGTGTATTTGCTGCCAATGCTGTGTGCACAACACCGAAATGGAAATGTGATAGAACGTTTGACAAAATTACTCGGCATTTTGCCAGGTTGCTATTGCTTGTCCAAGTGCAGCCAGAAAGGCAAACTCTTCAAGGATTGGAAGCAGGCAATCAGAACCCAGTTGCAGGATGATTTGAAAATCCTGCCCGCAGAGCCCCCAGGCGTGCAGGCAGAGTGGGCAGCAGCAAGAAAACAAGCCCAATTGTTCTTGGAACTGGTGCTGGAAGGTCTTGCCGACAACATTGACGACAGTTCTGGTCTTCGTCCGGGTACTTCGGCCGACATCAAGAAGTTCACAGACTTCTTCCGAGGCCCTTGGACAGGACCGACACCTGCATTCAGATTCAGCGTTCAGTGACGTTCAGAATTGGGCATTGTGTGGGTGTCAGTTGTTTGTTGCGCGTGTCACTGCATGTTGCATGTCTTTTCTTGCAAGTGTCAGCGATCGCCAAGTCAGCAGTGGTTTGCTATCACCGCAGTGTGGGCCTGGTGCCTATCAAGCTCGTGGACTAGTGACCTGTGGTCCACTTGTGACTCGCTTGTGGTAGTGAATCCGAAGACCGTGAAGAGCCATGTCGTCTACCCACACAATCATGAACATGCAGGATGTTTTGTTGCACGGCTTTGTGAATCGCGAAGGCCTTTCAGCTTGTTTCGAGCCAGCAGATGCTCGGAGACAGGCATTGTCAGGCCTTTGGCCAGGTAAAGACATGAAGCCTCAGGATGTGTATGGAGCTGTGGAGAAGCTGCAATCAGTGCTGTGCTGCGACACCTATGGTGGGGTTGACGCTGTCCGGTATGCCCGGGATGCGTACAACAAGCGGCACCTTTCCTGAGTTACGGACTTACGTGTTTGATGGGATCGGATGGTTAGATAGTTACTCTACCTAGTTAGTGAGATGATTCAATGATTTCAGCGTTGAAGAACCAAGCGTAGAACTATGTGCAGGCATCCGATGCACCTCATCCTCGACCTCCAGAACGGCAAAGGCGGGAAGTTGTGGCTTGGAGGCCACTTCGCGGATGTTGCATGCCTGACGCAGAACCATGTCGCGGTGGTGTTTCCAGCAAACAGAACTGCCACGAATCATTTGCAAGACCAAGCAGCAGTGAGAATCCTCCCGTTTGTGGACGGGACTGGCGTTGTCCATAAAGACGTGGCTTTGAGCCATGTTATTGACCGCCTTCACTCAGTGATCGAGCTGCTTTTGAAGGGCTTCTCCGTGGTGATTTTATGTCACAACGGAGCGCACAGGTCTGCGACCTTGACACTTGGCCGAGGTGATGAATGGTGTAGTGGTTCATAATGGGGGTTTTGCGGCTTTCTGGATTCATGGCTTTATCATCGCTTCGCAATAAGACTTCTGGGTCAGTTCAGTTTAGGACAGACGAGTGCAGCGTGTGTTTAGTAGGCAGTGCAGGTGTAGGTATGTTATGGTATGGTTAGAGACACAGAGCTGTGGCATTTGAGCCAAGGACCGTGTTGCTCTTGATGATCATCTGTGGCATTCCCTTCGATACGGCCAGTCACCATGTGACACAGCTTCGGAACATCGTGGACCTTCAAAGCCGAGCACCGTGCAGAGGCGGACGTATCAACACAATACGCCCGATGGACTTTCTGGCGGAGGTCTCTGACCAGGTTGCTGTCACGGGCGCCATGGTCGGCAACGGCAGAGGCGTGGCATCAAGCAACATGCTGAACGTTTCTTCGCTTCAATTTTAGACTTTTAGGTTGGGCTTGAGTGTTCACTATAATGATATAATGTATCAATGTTGCGTGTTCAGTGAGTCTGTGCCCTGTGCTCCACCGAGGATCTCATGACACCTTTGACGTTGAGGAAAATGGCTTTGGAGCTGGGTTTCGAGACTCGCAACCACATCCGGCCGAGCCTCCCGTCTCTGCCAGTTTCGATGGTCAGGGCCACAGGCCAGGTTAAAGAAGTCCGAGATCTGTTGGAAGCCCGCTCACAGCAGATTGAGGCCACCAGGCCAAAAGCCAGAGCTCCCGCCGCCATCAAAACGAAGGCCATGCCGGCAGGTGGGCGGGTTAAGGCATGGAGGTTCAGCGATTCGGGTGAGACGGGGACGGAATTTGGCTTCACCACTGACGACTCCTACGATATTGTGAGCATGGTTGGCGGCAAAGGCCTCACAGACTTTGAGTCCGATGCTCCCAAGCGTGCAACACTCCCAGGAGCTGCTTCGGCCAGTGGCGTTGCGCCAGGTTCCCGACCCCAGTCTTCGGCATCTGATGGCACTGAAGATCCGGACGCCGGTGCTCTGCCAGCCTCTTTGCCAGTGTCGTCCGAGGCAGAGGACGACGAGTATTACATGGTGGACAAAAGCCAACAGTCTGCGAGTACGAAGATGTGGCAGGATCGCAACCCGGAAAGCCCAGTTGCCTCGCCAAGGTGGACCTCCGAAGACTTCGTTCGGCTGCAAGGGGTAGTGAAAGACCTTGGAGACTTGAATCGTCAGCTCATGGCTTTCACCGCCAGCCCGGACGAGCTTGACGAGGAAGTCGAAGTTGAGGTCGAGGTTGAGGACGAGCCGGTGGAGGAGCAGAATGTGAAGATCGAGGAGGAGGCGGCTGACTATGGTGGCGATACGGATATGGAGCAGCAAGAGTCAGACCAAGCCGGCAAAGGAGAAGCTGAGGCTATGGAGGAAGAGGAAGAGCACCCACCTACAAGCTGCCCGTCATGATGTTTTTTTTTGAGTTTTTAAAAACTGACCTTAATTTCCTAGTACTTAGTACTAAGTGGGGGTTATGCGACTTGCTTGGTTGGCCCTTTTGCCATTTGCTTTTTGCTTCTTTTCCTACACAGCAATCTGAGGCCCGGTGCCTTCTGAAGGCGAGGAAGAGACCAAGCCCGAGCCAGCTGCGGATGATAAGTCCATGGCAGCGGCCTCTGGCCAGGTGTTCGTCGACCCCAACATGACAGCCGCCGCTGCCGTCGAAAATCTGGTTCAGGCTGTCAACCGACTACAGAAGGCTGGCGAGAAGGACGAGGGCCAGGATCCGGAGTCAGCTGAGACGTTAGCCAGGCTGTTTGAGTTGTTGGAGACACAAAAGGTCCAGCAACAGACGCTACTGACGCGACTCACAAAGGTCACGAACCAGGCTGAGGCAGACCAGCGCAAGAAGGAAGTTTTCGAGGTCATGTACAACCGTGACTTTTCGAGGCTGAGGCACCTCCTGTGCAACGAGCTGCCGGTCTCAGAGCTGGCTACCCTGCGCGATCACCAAG